ATTCATTTATTCATATTGTCAATTCATTCATTCATATTATCAATTCATTCATTCATATTATCAATTCATTCATTCATATTATCAAATAATTCATTCATTCATATTATCAAATAATTCATTCATTCATATTATCAAATAATTCATTCATTCATATAATCAATTCATTCATTCATATAATCAAATAATTCATTCATTCATATCAAATAATTCATTCATTTGTATTATCAAATAATTCATTCATTCGTATTATCAAATAATTCATTCATTCATTCGTATTATCAAATAATTCATTCAATCATATAATCAAATAATTCATTCATTCATATAACCAAATAATTTGTTCATACCTATTATCAAATAATTCATTCATTCCTATTATCAAATAATTCATTCATTCCTATTATCAAATAATTCATTCAATCATGTCAAATAATTCATTCATTCATATAATCAAATAATTCATTCATTCCTATTATCAAATAATTCATTCAATCATGTCAAATAATTTATTCATTCATATAATCAAATAATTCATTCATTCCTATTATCAAATAATTCATTCATTCCTATTATCAAATAATTCATTCAATCATATCAAATAATTCATTCATTCATATAATCAAATAATTCATTCATTCCTATTATCAAATAATTCATTCATTCATATAATCAAATAATTCATTCATTCATATTATCAATTCATTCATTCATTCATATAATCAAATAATTCATTCATTCGTATTATCAAATAATTCATTTATTCATATAATCAAATAATTCATTCATTCCTATTATCAAATAATTCATTCAATCATATCAAATAATTTATTCATTCATTTAATCAAATAATTCATTCAATCATGTCAAATAATTCATTCATCAATATAATCAAATAATTCATTCATTCCTATTATCAAATAATTCATTCATTCTTATTATCAAATAATTCATTCAATCATATCAAATAATTCATTCACATATCAAATAATTCATTCATTCATATATCAAATAATTCATTCATTCCTATATCAAATAATTCATTCATTCTATTAATCAAATAATTCATTCATTCATATATCAAATAATTTATTCATTCATATAATCAAATAATTCATTCATTCATATTATCAAATAATTCATTCATTCATATTGTTTTTATCTAATACTGCATATTGCCGATTCTATTGGACTATGAATAATGCTGTGTGTGTCGTATACTTTTGATGAAACAATAAAGTTCTCTAAAAAACATGTGCTCTGGTTGTTTTTGTTACGTACAATTACAGTCATCACATATGTGTATATGTAGATTTGAGTTTTCGAATAACGAATACTGTCGTTTTGCCCACAAGTGAAAATGTTTTTAGTTTATGATAAATCTTAGTCCGATATAGTTTACAGTATGGAGTAGTGAACAACAATATTAAAAAAAATATGTTTTTCATTCATTCATAATAGTTAATTAATGATGTGCTCTGTTAGTGTTTAATTCCAAGACAATTATCTGAGATGCTCACAAATAAAATGAAGTTATTACAAGGATACCGCAAAGTATGCATGAAGGCAGTACAGTGATAGCATCAACTGATATGCACTTATTATTATACATTTTTTTCTCCCAAGGGTACATCAAGGGAATGCCAAATCCAACACTTCTTTGTGTAGGGGTCTGGTCAAACCCTTGGGACTGAAATGTTTTTTTATTATTATTAGAGGTTATTTATGCATGTAATCGATGAAAGTACACATTGCAATACCACAAAATTACAGCAGGCTGTAACTTAACGGCATTGCAGTGACAGATGTATAGTAATACTAAATAGTTTAATTAATTCATTCACTAATATATTACCTGATTGATTAATTAATGATGTATAATTATACTAATTATTTTATTTCATTCATTCAAACTGGTTCCATTTCCGAGTTAACATAATCATATAATCTATATAGCGTCAGATGTCAATATCAATCACGTGTGGAACAACTTTATTCTGCTTGGAACTTATTTTTCGCTGTTTTTGCTGAATAGATGATTCAGTCAAAACAAAATCTAGCAAATATACAGTACCTTTTATCCTATATTTGACATTCATCTCATCAGAAATTAGTGAAAATAAATTCCATACAAAACACCCAAAAAGTCTTTTCAGCGAAAATTAATTCTAGTTAAAAATAAAATATTTTACAGTACGAGAGATTGACTTGCAGTAAGTTCTAACATGTTTTTTTGTTACGTTTAATGTAGGTATGAGAATTCAGATGAAGAGGATTCAATGGAACCAACACCCAGACCTGTTGTGAGAAAAACAGCCAATACAAACAGAGGGAAATCAACGTCCAAAGATAAAACCAATAAACACATATATTTTCTATAGAAGGACGTTTCCTGGTTGGTTTAGGGTTTAGTGTTAGGATTAGGATTAGGCAGCCAATGAGAAGCAATGTTGTATTCAAACTGGAATCATTCTGTAAACAAGGTGTTTCCTGGTTGTTTTGATAACCAAGGTGTTAGGGTTAGGCAGCCAATGAGAAGCAATCTTGTATTCAAACTGGAATCATTCTGTAAACAAGGTGTTTCCTGGTTGGTTTGATAACCAAGGTGTTAGGGTTAGGCAGCCAATGAGAAGCAATCTTGTATTCAACCTGGAATCATTTTGTAAACAAGGTGTTTCCTGGTTGGTTTGATAACCAAGGTGTTAGGGTTAGGCAGCCAATGAGAAGCAATCTTGTATTCAAACTGGAATCATTCTGTAAACAAGGTGTTTCCTGGTTGGTTTGATAACCAAGGTGTCAGGGTTAGGCAGCCAATGAGAAGCAATCTTGTATTCAAACTGGAATCATTCTGTAAACAAGGTGTTTCCTGGTTGTTTTGATAACCAAGGTGTTAGGGTTAGGCAGCCAATGAGAAGCAATCTTGTATTCAAACTGGAATCATTCTGTAAACAAGGTGTTTCCTGGTTGGTTTGATAACCAAGGTGTTAGGGTTAGGCAGCCAATGAGAAGCAATCTTGTATTCAAACTGGAATCTTTCTGTAAACAAGATGTTTCCTGGTTGGTTTAGGGTTTGGCAGCCAATGAGAAGCAATCTTGTATTCAAACTGGAATCATTCTGTAAACAAGGTGTTTCCTGGTTGGTTTGATAACCAAGGTGTTAGGGTTGGGCAGCCAATGAGAAGCAATCTTGTATTCAAACTTCCTTGGCTATTATCACCTTGGTACTTAGTGATGCCAGGTAGAATACAAGATATTCTCTGATTGGCTACCTGACCCTTATACTTTGCTGACTTGCCAATCAAAGGTGGTCGTACAAATGAGTAAAAATAGTCCTTATATACCAATCATGTCATAAAACAATGGATGTGCAGCTAACTGGAAAAAAAAAACATTTTTAAAATCAATAATATTTTACTGTGCAAAACTCTGTGCAAATAATAAGTAATGAAACTTGTAATGGAAAAAATGAATTTAGCCACCTTAGATAGATGTGCAATTTTGGTTTACATTCTAATATTTTCCCTATATAGTCACACCTGTGTATAATGACCACCCAACAGATTTCATTAAAATGGTCTTTATAGAAAGGTGGTCTTTATATGGAGGGTGGATAATTGTTTTCATTGATCATCAACTCATACATTTAATATAATGTTTTTCCAGAAGACTGTAAGATGTAATGTTATAAGAAAAAATCTTTTGAGTTGATTTAACTATAATATATTTTATCTGAGGATTTTGAAAGTTGTTTCATAAACAGAAATTATTATTTCAGAAAACAGGTTGCTTATACTTTACGACTGTCTAAAGTGGTCACTATAGGCAGGTGGTCTTTTTACCCAGGTTGATCATACCTTGAGACTGTCTAAAGTGGTCACTGTAGGCAGGTGGTCTTTATACACAGGTTGCTCATACATTGAGACTGCCTAAAAGTGGTCACTATAGGCAGGTGGTCTTTATACACAGGCTGCTCATACCTTGAGACTGCCTAAAAGTGGTCACTATAGACAGGTGGTCTTTATACACAGGTTGATCATACCTTGAGACTGCCTAAAAGTGGTCACTTTCGGCAGGTGGTCTTTATACATAGGTTGCTCATACATTGAGACTGCCTAAAAGTGGTCACTATAGGCAGGTGGTCTTTATACACAGGTTGATCATACCTTGACTTGAAACTGTCTAAAGTGGTCATATAGGCAGGTGGTCTTTTTACCCAGGTTGATCATACCTTGAGACTGTCTAAAGTGGTCACTGTAGGCAGGTGGTCTTTATACACAGGTTGATCATACCTTGAGACTGTCTAAAGTGGTCACTGTAGGCAGGTGGTCTTTTTACACAGGTTGATCATACCTTGAGACTGTCTAAAGTGGTCATTATAGGCAGATGGTCTTTATACACAGGTAGATCATACATTGAGACTGCCTAAAAGTGGTCACTATATGCAGGTGGTCTTTATACACAGGTAGATCATACATTGAGACTGCCTAAAAGTGGTCACTATAGACAGGTTGTCTTTATACACAGGTTGCTCATACATTGAGACTGTCTAAAGTGGTCATTATAGGCAGGTGGTCTTTATACACAGGTAGATCATACATTGAGACTGCCTAAAAATGGTCACTTTCGGCAGGTTGTCTTTATACACAGGTAGATCATACATTGAGACTGCCTAAAAGTGGTCACTATAGACAGGTTGTCTTTATACACAGGTTGATCATACCTTGAGACTGTCTAAAGTGGTCATTATAGGCAGTTGGTCTTTTTACCCAGGTTGATCATACCTTGAGACTGTCTAAAGTGGTCACTGTAGCAGTGGTCTTTATACACAGGTTGATCATACCTTGAGACTGTCTAA